GCGGCCATTGCACTCCAGTCTGGGCGACAGAGTGAGACTTCAACTCAAAAAAAAAAAAAAGCTTAAAAATAACATGCAGGAAATCTTCAAGTACCTGCTTTTTGAGGCTATCAGGCAGTTAGGATAATATAATAGAAAAAGTATAGAACACCTTCATCTCCCCAGAAAAGGCCTGTGTAGATGTAATGAAGCAGTAGAGGTTGGAGAGCCTCAGACTGACACAAGGAACTGGGGTTCATACAGTCAGCAGTGTGCTCTGTAAACAAGAAGTATTTTTATACATCAGGTCATTACATTCTTTTTTTTGAGTAGGAGTCTCACTCTGTCACTCAGGCTGGAGTGTAGCGGCATGCTCACGGCCACTACAGCCTTAACCTGCTGGGCTCAGGCAATTCTTCCGCCTCAGCCTTCCAAGTAGCTAGAACTACAGGCACATGCTACCACACTGGGCTGGCTTTTTGATTTATTGTAGAGACGAGGTCTCACCAATTTGCCCAGGCTGGTCTTGAACCCCTGAGCTCAGGCAATCCTTTCGCCTTGGCCTCCCAAGTTCTGGGTTTATAGGCTTGAGCCACCGCACCCGGCTTACATTCTTATTCTAGGAGATAAGCATTATCCATTTTATAGGCAAGAAAACTAGGGCTCTGAGTGGTTATATAGTTTGGTCAAGTTATAGCACATATAAATGGCAGAGCTGGGATTTGACTCAATGTTCAAACTCTTTCCACAACACTGTGAGGTGGAGAGGCATGCACAGCAGTGGGCAGCCTACGCTTCCCTTGTGAGTCTGGAACTAAGGCCCAGGAATCCAAGGTTATAAATTTTTCATAAAAGTTTCTTTGGGTCAGGTGCAGTGGCTTATACCTGTAATCCCAGCACTTTGGGAGACCAAGGCTGGAGGACTGATTGAGTCCAGGAGTTTGAGACCAGCCTGGGAAACATAGTAAGACTCTACAAGAAAATAAGAAGGCCAGGCTCGGTGGCTCAGCCTATAATCCCAGCGCTTTGGGAGGCCAAGGTGAAAGAATTGCCTGATCCCGTGGGTTCGAGACCTGCCCGGGCAACTTGGCAAGACCTCATCTCTACAATAAACCAAAAATTAGCCTGAGCGACGGGGTGAGACTCTAACTAAAAAAAAAAAAAAAGAAAATAAGAAAATAAGCCTGGGAAACATAGTAAGACTCTACAAGAAAATAAGCCAGGCATGGTGATGTGTGCCTGCAGCCCCAGCTACTTGAGAGGCTGAGGTGGAAGGATCAACTGAGTCCAGGAGGTTGAGGCTACACTGAGCTGTGATCATGCTACTGTACTCTGGGTGACAGAATGACACATGGACTCAGAAAAATAAAATAAAAAAGCAAGCTACCCAATGATGGCTACCTTGCCATCTTTAGTTCAGAAAGAGCTGGCAGTGAGATTCATCATCTGGTGACTGACTCAGGCAACTTGGTTTAGAGACAAGCCTCCACCTGACACATTTCTTTTTTCCCTTTGGCTGGAGAGTCAGGTCCGGGTGTCAGGGTTCTGTGGTCCCCCCCATCTTGTGGACGCTGATTTCCTGTGCTCTCCAGCTAAGGGCTCCGGAGGAGGGCCTGGGGGACCCAGAACCCGCTTTGGCTACTCTGCCTGGAGCCTCCAGTCCTTAACTCCCAGGGTGTTGGTGTTGAGAATGCAGGATCTTTGCACACACGGCCAGGGTGTGTGTTGGGGGGTTGGGTGGGGGACAAGGCAGGCAAGGCCAAGGTCATCCCAATGTGCCATTCATGCCTGCTTCCCTCTCCACCTCCTTGCCCTGCAGTGGGTGCTTCAGCTCATTACCCAGAGGTCTCGTTCATATCTGAACGTCTAGTTCACAGAAGCAAAAATGTCCTTGACAAGAATCTATTTTACGAGTATTTTATTTGTTTTTGGAGATTACATAGTCATTATTGCTGATCTAATACAATCACTTAGACATAAAGATTTCCAAGAGCGTCTCAGAGCTGGCAATCCTTGGAGGTCTTACTCCTTTCAGTGAGACGACAGAACTAGGTGATTATTTCTAGGTATGTATATAGAGTTTAGAACTCGTCCACACATGATTTGCTGGTGTTGCCTGTTTTCCTTCGGTAATTTTCCTTAATTAATAAACTTAATGCAAAAGTGCATTTTGATTCCTTTTTTTTAAAACCATGACAAAGTTAATTTTGAGAAAACCACAGGAGCAGCAATGTCCGATTTGTTCAGAGAAAAGCCAAGCAGCAAAAAAGCTTTGCAGGAGTATGTGGCCAAGGGGAGCCGTGCTCACACGGGAAGGTAGGATGGAGAGGCGGGTGGGCAGAGGGAAGGGGGACTAGATACATTTTTTTTTTAAACGACAAAAAGCAAACTGAATATCTGCATTAAAAAGGCAAAAAATCCAGGCGCAGTGGTATGCACCTGTGGTTCCAGCTACTCAAGAGGCTGAGGCAGGAGGACCTGTGCCCTGGAGTTTGAGACCAGCCTGGGCAACACAGAGACACTCCTGTCTCTGTTAAAGAAAAAAAAAAGGAAAAAAGAAGGCAAAAAAAAGGCCTTGAAAACTAGCACAAATTCACTGTAGAGAAATGGTATGCATCCTCACAGGCCAGATCCACACACAGAGATGCTCAGCCTTCTTTCCCACGCTTCCAGGTAGCTAGGATGCAGCTCAGGTGAGAGGTTGCTCCAATTCCAAGAGCAGAGGGAGTAATGACTGATTCCAACACTAAGACAGAACCCATATACTCAAGAGGCCTGGGCCTCCTTCTTCTTAATGGTTGATGACACAGGGCCCCCAGAGAGAGGAAGAGAGGCCATCTGAAATTCAGGGGCAAATACCTCCCTGAGGGCAGCAACACCAGCAACCTGAGATGCCAGGTGTAGCTCCTTCTGTATCTGGAATGGGTCTCTTCACTCCAGCACAGCAGCATGTACTAAGAGGCCCAGCATGTAGTACACACCATAGAGTACAAGGCTTGGCTGAGAAACAGCAGGTTATGATTTTTGATCTCTAAGAGCATAATAGGCTGGAGTCCAAATACCTGCCAAATGGAATTTGCTCTGGATATAAGATGAGGTGCAAAGGTCTGAATCTTAGGGAACCCTCTTAATTAATACAAAAATCAGAACCAGGTAGGCAAAAGGAAGAATTCAGTGGCTTGGTGGAATTTGAGCATTTATGATCTTCCTTATAAAAAACAATATAGCCGTTGTGGGCACTTCTCTTGTTGCTGAGACATACGGTCTCAGAAGAACTAGTCTATGGGCTGAGCCTGTATACTATTTAATGAGGTAAACACCAATTTACCCAAGCTCCACCTCCCTTCTTCTAAAAGAAAGGTCACTTCCAGACCAGTTCTGAGGGTACAGGTGAAGACTGGGCGAATTGGAGAGGGCGAAGGCAGGGGAGGAGAATCAGGATGGAAAAGTTACAGTGATCAGGGTAGCCTGGTTTCATTGAGTCACCTTGGTTTTGAGACTTTGAGGCAGACCAAAAATGGGAAAAAAATGGGAGACAAACATGAGAGGGTGAAACAGGGTCAGCAAGAGGGAGAGGATCTCATTTATTTCAGGATTCCTTGGGCCACTCCAGACTTCAACTCTCAGAACTAATCTGGTCCCAATGAAACTGAGACCAGCAGTCAGTCTTCAAAAGGAATCCAGTTCTTGGGTGGGACATGAAATTTCATGCTGCTCACATCATTAATTTTTGGTAGTGTTGGAGTTACTCAAGAAACTGCCTCTGAAATACGAGTCCTTACATGGAAGAGGTCAGATCAGAAAAGATATGCCAGCAGAGAAGAAAGACCACAGATCAGATTACAGATCCGGTTTCATCCACAGCAACCCAAAGGGATGAATGTCTGATGAGGTTCAAACTAGTAAGGCTAGTTTTGAGCATCTGGACACGGTCACAGTTTCATCTCTGTATCCCTCAGCCAGTCAAGCTGCAAAGGCCTTCCTGAGAAAAAAATAAATATACTCTGCTTCTTTAGGCTGTCAAGCTGTGGGCCTGAAAGACCTGCCCCATTTCCAAAGCCTTAAACCCTCGCATCCTTGGCAAAGTATGCCTTTCCCTACTCAGTTTCAGAAGTGGCTGTAGGCAATAGCAGGATGTTTCAGGAAGCCATGTTTCACAACAAACCCTCCTTTTCTGAGATAGCGCCAATCTGGAGGGGCTTCCTGAGAAACCATCCAGTTAAATGACAAGGAAGTAAAACTATGGGTCCCAAGGGAGCTGGTCCCACTTCCTGAGCAGAGGTTGGTTGGGTTAGAATGACAGCAAAACAAATGTCTGACAAACACCAGAGCTGTGGAGGAAATAACGGAAGCATATCCTCTTGCAAACAGAAAGTATTAAAATGGACATAAATATTCAAGGAAAAGGAGTCCTGGGTGAGGAAGAAGATCCCCAGTAGGCACGGCACAGCTGAGTGCCTGGTGTCATTTGCCAAAGCCATGAATAAAGCCCCTTTCTCAGCAGCCTCTTTATGGAGAAGGCAGTGACAGTAATGGCCAAGGCTGAGAACCCAGGTCATGGTAATTCAGTGGCTTCCAAAAGGCCTCACCTGGGGAAGGGCTGAGAAAGGCAGCTGCTGAAAATATATTCCAGAAAAACTCCAGGGTACACGGAGTCTGGAGTCCCTGGACTAACTCCTGAGCCTGGACAAGAGGAAAATGGCCATTGCTGAGGATTCACAAAGGGGAAGGACGCGAATGACACGCTGGGGACGGTCACCCCATTTCTCTCCTTCCTCAGCCTGTCCTTTGTGGCTCTCATGGCCCTCGGGACAGTAACCACACTCTGGGCCAAGACTACAGGCACAGGATTCTAGGTTTTAATAAATAAATAACCTAACACACAGGGTGAGCACGGCGGGCAGCTCTGATTGGAGAAGCAGCTTGCTGAATTCTTTCTTGTATAGTAGTGGAGAAAAGGCTTGGAGTTTGATTCCTTAGAACTTCTGGCTTGAGTTACAGGAACTTAATACCTGGAGGGAAAAAGAAAGATGAGACTGTGAGGTTATCAGCTAGTGGGGATGCTGGGACATGAAGAGTTGGTCTAACGGTGTACCAGGGAGGAAGGGCTTTTCTGGAGCATACGGTGGTGACAGCAGATAATTGTCTCCTTTTCATAGCAGTGAAAAAGTCCATGCTGCACCCCCATAAAGATAACAATCAGGGCAAAAAAATGAAATGGGGAAAGGCAATTCAGGAAAGAGAACATCATTTAATGAGGCAAAGAGCCACTTATCCAAGTTCTGCCTCTATCTCCAAGGGACAAATTCAAAAAGGGGAACATGGTTTATGGCCATAAAGAGTCCTTCGGGGTGGCAGGGATGGGGAGCAGGTTTATTTTCTGAATTCATGTAAATGTATGCAAAAGCTCTCCGCTACCGCTACCGGGTGTCCCTGGTTTTTGGGAGCCCAAGGCACCTGTAGTAATTAGGCTTGAAAGGCCCGTTCTTGTTGAGTCCCAGGTACTTGGCCTGTTCATCTGTCAGCTCTGTCAGGTGAGCATCAAAGGTAGGGAGGTGCAGGCTTGCCACATACTCATCTGGAACAGACCACAGACACCCTGAGATAAGCATTTGCGCTTCTTACCTCTGGCCACTCTCCCCAAGTTAGGCCTTACAAGGCTGGGAGCCACCTTCTGACTCCTGGAACTAAATGAAAAATGCTCAACTTTTGTTCACTGGTCCTCAATTCTAGGCAATGGCTGTCTTCAGCTTTGAGCCCAGTGCTTTTCAGAGCCATAACATTTCATCCTTACTTAACTCTTTCAGCCTTGAATCTTTCTTTCTCCCGGAAAAGAAGGGAGAGATGAAAAAGCAACAGGTGTCAGGATCTAAAAGAAAGGATGGAACAGCAGGGGACTAAAAACGTTGGTTTTGTCTTGGACTCTATTCTTGGGGTCATTTAGAAAAATAATACCTGGGGATACCAAATGGGACGACTAAGAAGGATACTGCCTGGTTTGCTTTGCTTTTAGTGCTCTGAGTTCTCATGGGTTTTGTTTACATTTTATTATCTGAACACACAGTACTTGGCCATAATTTTATGTCATTTCCTGTGTGTTTGGGCTCCTCAACTTCATTATACATTTAGTTAGAATATGGACTATTCTGTTTCTTTTCTAAAGTGTCTGTTAAAGAGAATAACAGATCAACCTTTTTTTTTTTTTTTTTTTTTTTTGAGTTGGAGTCTCACTTCTGTTGCCCAGACTGGAGTGCAGTGGCCGCTCCCGGCCACCGCAGCCTCAACCTGCTGGGCTCCGGCGATCCTTCTGCCTCAGCCTTCCGAGTAGCTGGAATTACAGGCATACACTACCACGCCCGACTGATTTTTTGATTTATTGTAGAGATGAGGTCTCGCTGCCCAGGCGGGTCTCGAACCCGCAGGCTCAGGCAATCCATTCACCTCAGCCTCCCAAAGGCAAGGGATTACAGGCTGAGCCACCAAGCCCGGCTTCAGATCAACTTTTAACAGCTGTTATGCACCTGATCTTTGCCTGAGGAGTTTAGAACCACACTGCATAAGTTTAGGTGCCTAAGGCAGGCTCTTTAAAAATGTAGGGCAGTTTAGAGTTTCTCTTCCATGAGACACCCACATAAGTGAACTTGAAGAGGAGCTATTCGGAGTTCCTCCTCTGGCCTGAAGCCCTGGGGCTAGTGTTAGAAGGTGGAGTAAGAAAGTCCCGCTGATCTGAGAGAAGTTTGGCAGGGATATTTAGCAGCCTAGAACTGGAATATAGGTCAGATGTCACAAGGTTCGAGATGCTTCTTTTCTTTGGGGAGGAGATTTCTTTTTTTATGTTTTGAGATTCCTGCATACAAGATACTTTAAGAGAGAAAATAAAATTAACAGGCAGATAAACGAAATCACAGCAAAATGTCCCAACTTCAAGGGCAAGTCTATGGACGACAGGATGAGCCAACTAGGGGAGGAGCCTAGGAATCCCAGCTCCTCCTTTACAAGATACAGACACCTTTCTTTTTCTAGCCATAAGATACCTAATAACCCTGACTTCCTGCAGCCTCTGAGCTACTCCACTAGGAATGGCGAAGGAGAGTATGTGCTTACCCATCTTCTTGGGCAGCAGGTAGACATCCTGCTTATAGCGACCCTCGGGAGCATTGTAGAGCTCTATCAAGGCGAGAGCCTAGAACAGCAGAGAGATGGGTGCTGACGAACCGTTCACCCCACACCCACTGGCCTGGGGACACTCTCTAGCCCATGGCTGTCCCACTCCCAGTCCTCACCTGAGTAGTCGCAGTGATTGAGAGCACAAATGTAGGCACTGTGGAGCAGCTTAGGTTCAGTAGGCGGCCCTAGGGATCAAGGGTGAAGACACAGGTGAGTTAGGACACAGTCGCCGGCTGTTGAGGGGTGAGCAAAGGGTGTGACTGCATTTTCCAAACACCTCCCAACTAACAGGCTGGACAATAAGCAGGTGCTCCATATATGGGCACTAACCAGCTGACATTTAATTGAAACCACTAAAAGTTCTACCAAATTTAATGGTAAAAATTTCTATAATTATGTAAAAAGGAATACAAATGGTCACATGACACTGAGGTTTATGCCAAGGATGAGTATATTTCTTGTAAAATTTCCACACTATATGGCAACATATCCCCTTCCTTTTTTTTTTTTTTTCCTGAGTTGGAGTCTCACTCCATCACCCAGGCTGGAGTGCAATGGCAGGCTCATGGCCACCCCAACGTCAACTTGCTGGGCTCCCGCGATCCTTCCACCTCAGCCTTCCAACCAGCTGGAACTACAGGTATGCGCTACCGTGCCTGGCTAATTTTTTGATTTATTGTAGAAAAGAGGTCTTGCCAAGTTGTCCAGGCTGGTCTCGAACCCGTGGGCACAGGCAATCCTCTCACCTTGGCCTCCCAAAGTGCTGGGATTACAGGCTTGAGCCATTGTGCCTGGCTGAACTATCCCCTTTCTGATTCTCTCCACAATAATAACCATCATCTGACTCAACCTGTGGAGTGACATGGAGGGACAGGAACACTGGTGAAAAGTGGTGAACCATAATAGTTTCTTAATTGCTGAATGAAGGGTTCATTCATAATTTCCTTTAAAAGACTGGCCTAAAATAAATAAAGATCCAGTCAAATCTAGGGTGACCTCCCCAGGTTCTGAGCGGAGATATCTTTGGATTTAAGAAGCTGTGGTGCTTTTTGTGCTTCTTCTGCAGGCTGGTTCTCCTGAATTCAAGGGTGGCCATGCACTTGGAGTGGATGATTCAGGTCATCGCTAAAAAGTGCCCCAGTGCCACCCGCTACTACTTTGTTTCCTAGGAAGCCTGACTACTTTTTTCTGCTCAACCAGATAGCCCCAATACCTGTGGTGCTTGCTTTTGTAACTAAAATTATTAGATGGGACTTCCCAGGGCAACTAGGAATAAGTCATGTCAGCAGGCTGACATCAAAGCTATTGATGCATATTTAACAACCTGCTCATCTCCTTCCCATACACACTACTTCCTGGTGAAGAAATAGTTCATTCCCCTTAAAGACGTACTTGGGCATGCTGTATAAGGTCCAAAAAGATAATGTAAGGAAAAGGCAAAGAGAACAGTAAGGATGCTCAAAAACCTAACTTGAGGTGCCCCTAGATAAAGAGAGTAAGTACATCTTTTACATTTTCATATTCAGTTCAATATAAAAAACACAAATTGACAGAAAATCAAAACCCAAGAAACCCAAGACCCAAGAAAAGATTATCCTCCTTGTTATCTTGGAATCCTTCTCTGAAGAAGAGAAAGCTTCAGGGAAAGAACAGGAGGCATCATCACAGCTGTCAGGAATCCAAGACCAGGAAAGAGGAGACTTCATGGAAGGAAAAGTGTTCAGACAGTGTCGTGGAAGGTAAGTGGAACAGATTAAGTGTGAGCTAGAGGAAGCCAAGTTGAGGAAACCTCAGTCAAGCACCCAATATACAGCTGGGTGCTTCCTCTACACCAGGCTCAAGTAAAGGCAAGGGACACTCAAAAAAAGAATCTATCAGAGAAGACATGGCCTTCCAAGAGCTTGCCTGAGACAGTCCTAGATACAGTCAGGAATATCTACTCTGTGATTACTGATTAACGCATCCCACAGATGACATTATCTCTTTGTAAGCATCACTCAAAGTGCTATTGGTTCTATCTGTGAATATTTTCCACAGCAACAGTTATTATCTGACTCAACCTGGGGAGTGACATGGAGAGACAGGATAATTGGTGAAAAGCAGGGAACCAAAATAGTTTCTTAATTGCTGAAGGAAAGGATCTTTCACAATTAGAAGCAAGACACACTGGTAAAGCGTCAGGCGGCGCTTAAGAGGAGATGGAGGTCTGAGAGAACAGGAGGAAAGAACCTGGGTACTGCAGTATGCCCGTCAAGGGGGAGCATCTTTGCCAGTCAGTCTTACCTCGGCCAGCAGTACTATCCTCTTGCCGTCGGGCCATATCACATGGTCAACCTGAGATCTCACTCGCTCCCAGGTCAGCTCTGGAGTCCGCAGACTCGCCTGCAACACATATGGCAAGCACACCATCAGCCGTGGCAAGTCCCATTCTGGGGACAGAAAGGTGTCAAGGGGAGCCATTGCAATGAAAGAAGCAACCAACATGCCAGATGGAGAATACCTGTCCTGGTTGGTTAGGACTGTTCCATTTCAGGGAATTTAATCTTAGGCCCAGCCAGGGAGGGGTCCCTCAGGATGTCACTCCACAACATAAACTGTATGCCCACTCTCACAGTAAAAGGTGCTACGGGAAATACAAAAGAAACCAAAGACATGGCTTCTGCCTTCAAAAAGCTTGCACTTTAGTAGGGGACACAAACAATACATAAGTGAGAAGAAAGAAAAGCCTTTAAAATACTTACAAAGCCACATGCAAACAAGTGCCAATTAATAGAGTGCAAACTGATTACATAAGTGCTAAGGAGACACAGGAAAAACGAGGGTCAGAGCTGAGTGGGTTAGTAAGAAAAGCTAAATGTCCTAAACACAGCATGCTGAGGTCACGGTTCTGCCCTCCTGTCCCAACATCCCAGGGTCCACCTTCTCACCAACAGTGGTTCACCCTAAAGTCATGGAAGCTTTGTGACCTAACCACAAATGTGAGGTAGCCTTTAAAGAGATGCTTAATGGTAGAGTGAAGCTCCCAATGGCTCACCCTGCTTCTACTTCTGTATATTATATATTCAGAGAACAATAGAAAAAATGTTAAGTTCATTAACAGCAGCAATCAAATAACAGTCACAGGGAACACAGACTTAAGACAACACCTCCCTTCTTCTATAGGTGATGCCTAAATAGAAAGGGAGTTCATATTCCAAAACTACCCACTGGTTCACCTGATGAAATTGAGAAGTTCTGCCAAATAGTAGTTTTCAGACAAAGTTATACAATAGTCACCGATTGAGTACACACCACGTTCTCGCATTGTAGTAAAGGGCATGGATATAGTCGAGACTGTAGATTCCTTTACTAGACTGGAAGCTGTTTGTGAAAAGGACAGTAGCTTCTCTTCACTTCTGTATTCTTAACAACTATCTAAGCATACAATGGAGTGCTCAGCTAACCCTTAGAAAGGAGCTGGTCTCTATACCTGAGGAAGTATCAACCTAGTGGGACATTCAGACAGACATATCATTATATGTCAGTGTATTCAGCACTGGATTAGTGGTCCAGACCATTTAAAAAATTAGGTAGCTGGGAAACACAATTTTTTGAAATGCCAAGCATCATACATTGGCTCAACCTTTCAGGGCAATCTGGCAGTAGCTAGCAAAATTTTATATGTACTTAATCTATGACCAATCAATCTCACTTCTAGGGTTCTATCCTATAGAAAACAGTTGTTCAAGTTCATAAATATAAGTGCCCAGAATATTCAATCCAGCACTATTTGTAATAGTGAAAAATGCAAATCAACAAGGTAGTTTCATATACGTAATTCTTTTTTTTTTTTTTT